ACTCTCTTTAGGCTTCAGATTACTCATCAGTCATGTGTTTTTCCATTTAGGTTCCTTTTCAAATGCTCTCAGTCTAAGAAACGCTGGCAAGAGGGATTTTTACCAATGTTTGTCATCTTAATACAGAACTTCATTTTCCCACATCCACAGATGGAAAGAAATGAGATCCTTAATTACAGATTTTGTTCACTTAATTGGAAACTTGCCAGAAACAGAATTTTTGTTATTGCCTATTCCATCAAACACAAATCGTTCAATCTGTTTTAAAAACAGCGAGCCCTTTCCCACCAGCATTTCCCATCCCCTACCCTGTTTTATTTTCTCCTTAATGCTTACCACACTCCGACATACTGTATATTTTACTCAATTATTTGTTCTATCTCCTCCCCTCCACCCTTCAGCCAGTATCTAAGCTTCATGGGGACAGGGATTTTTATCTCTTGAGTTCACTGCTATATCCCCAGCATCTGGAACGGGATCAGACACATAATAGGTCAAAAATTATTTGACGAATAAATGGACAAATGAACATTATTGAGGATCATTCATTACTGGCCTTTTCCCAACCACAACTTATCTCATGTTATTACCAATTCAGCTTCTCCAGGTTAACCAAGGTTTCTAAACTTTATCCTCGACTCAAGGCTTATATTCATTCCTCCTTCTGTGTCATTTAAGGATATTCTTCTACCCTACTCCTGCTTGTCACATCATTCATTCATTCAGTACAGATTTATTGATTGCTTACTGTGATCCAAGCGATGTGGTAAATGCTGGGATACAGAGGCATATAAGACACATGCAATCCTTACCTTTTTTAACAATCCTTGCCTAGTGCTTCATTTGAGACCCTGCTACTCCCTCTGTTCTTGGCTTCCCTGTAGTGCTGCCTCCCTTCGAATGTTTATATATTCATAATGCCTTGGAGGTTTGGTTGGTTGCTGCCTAATTTTGAATAGAGTTCTTTTAATAATGAATTAATAGAGCAGGGAGCAAGTGATGCTCACTTCCAAGGAGGTGATAACTACATCACTCTAGAGCTGCTTTGGGATCACTGGAACGATGCTGTTTCCTAAACAGTGATCATTGGAATTCCAGTTCCATGAGGCCTGACTGTGTGGGACTTGAAATGGCATGCTACATCTCCCCATGTCTCTATGTTTTCTGTGCCTAGAGGTGATCTGAGGATGCTTCTTTGCATCCTGAAAAAGTCTAATTAACCTATCACCTTTAGCTTCAAGGCTATTATTATCTACTGCTCCAACTAAATAGGAGACTAAGCCCCCAAATGACAGAGAGACTTGATGTCAAACCATGCCAAGTACCAGGCCTGTCTGTACCTTTTTTTAAATTGAGGTATATTCGAAAATTAAGAATTGTATATATTTAAGGTATACAATTTGATGATTTGATGTACATATGCACTGTGAAATAATCACTACATTCAAACTAATTAACACATCCATCCCGTCAGATGGACGGGATGTGCGTGGTAAGAACACTTAGGATCTACCCTCTTAGTAAATTTTAAGAATACAACACAGTATTGTTAACTATGTTATATTGCTGTACATTAGATCTTCAGAACTCATGCATATTGTATCACTGAAACTTTGTACCCCTTGAACAACATCTCCCTCTGTCTGTGCCTTATAACAGGATTTTGGGAACACTTAACACCTCTACCCCAGCATTTCCCAAGTTGTGCTCAGTGGATCTCTAGACTTCTGAAGGATAGTAAATGGAGTTCTGCAAAAAGAGGGTTCCATGGACAAATAAGTTTAGGAATGTCACATCCTATATTTCCCACTTGGGGATACAGGACTCATAATGAGAATATTTATGTAACTATAAATGTTTAATTCTTTTAAACCCAGTCAGTGTTTCCCAACCTACTTTGGCCATTGAACCTTTTACACCCAGAACATCATGGACACCTCAGAGGATGTTCCTGCTCTGGAGAAAGCTGTTTGGCAAATTCTTCTTTACCTTCATGCCATATCCACAGGAATAGCAAACAGTTACGAAAGAGTGGGCCGGGACATGCATGTACCTCTCTGCTAGCAGTTCCTGGGGGTCGTTAATGCAGAGAGACTAGTTTTATGGAACAAATACTAGACTTAGAGTCAGAAGAGTTGTAATTTCATCCTGGCTCGGTCACATAACTAACCATAAGCTGCTGGGAAAGTCGCTTTACCTCTGAGCTTCAATCTCTTTTTGTAAAAGAGACAAATTTTAGGATAACCATATGCCATTCGTTGAAACTGCTGACCAGTTTAGGAAGTTTCTGTGTAGCAGATTTAACTTTGATTTAAAAAGTATTCTTCTGGGTAATTTTCGGGCCTATCTGTTGAAAGTCCTCTTTTAGATGACTGGTGCCTTCACCTCTGAAGACGGAGGTCTCTAATTTCTTAGACATGAAGCCACAGGGCTCTCCAAGCCCAAAGAAGTATTTCAGAATGAATAATGGAAACCAATTAAGTCTGGGATCTATCTATGTTAGCTTGAGTAGTAGGGTAATACCTAGAGAAGTCCTAAGAAGTCTTATACAGAACAGAGGAAGCTACAGGTTTATAATATAAATAAGCAATAAATGAAATTTGAGACTATTGATTTGACACTAGATTAATTGGCTTGTTTTTCTGATCAATTTCCAAACTTGGAGATTGATGACATAGAGTTGTACTGCAAAATTAACTCGTAGCTCAGCACAAATTTATATTCCAAAGCAATGTAGGAGAGGTAGGTGATAATTATTTCCAGGGAGGCTTCCTCTGGTCTTGATCTTTGAGGAAGACTCTCTTCTACTCTAACTCAGGAGTGAAAAATCTGTTCCCAAATCTGTCCTCTGAAGGGAAGAAATTCTATGATGGTTTAATGTACACTTGCAAATAAGGCTCTAGAAGGAACTAGGTGGCACTTGGTGTTTTTCTTGCCATTGAAATATCTCCGTTGAAATAATAACTATCATAAAAAATGTTTAAAAACTGGATATAAAAGGTGACTGTACATTGAAATAACACTGTGACATAAATTTTAGTCTCTATTTGCTTGAAATTTGATGTAAGCATTGACGACAATAAGTAGTTTGGCGTTAAAGAAAACAAGATTTTGCTTCCACTATAGGTTAAATAAATGTTGCTTTAGTCATCTCTAAGTAATTGCTGGGCCATTGTAATACATTCAATGTGATGTTTGCTAAGCAAGCATGCCTGCCATCTGGTTACCGAAACTGTGTTTTTGCTACTTCAGAGATACACATGGCCCAGTAGCACTGAGATGTAGGGAGCTGATAGGAGCCTGTGGATCAATTCCAAAGCAATTTGAGAGTTCAAGCCATTCATTTGTTTGCAACACAAAGTGTTCTCCACATAGGAAAACAATGAGTCTAACTTATCTGTCTCTTTCCTGTCCTGGTATCTTTAAAATTGTCCATCATGACAGGGTGCACACGGGTTTATAATATTAAGCCAACTTTAGGGACTGTGAAGAAGAATGGAAAACAGTCTCGTGTGCTGCTGTGCCACATCCTACTCGGTTCCGATGCCAGCAGCACTGTTCCTGGTCTGCAGAGTGCACACCGAAGAAGTAGTCGGATGATATGGCAAATGTCCAAATGCGTCTGTGGCTCCGGGGGAAGACGTTCCCAAACCAGCCTTTTCATCAGCACTCCTCCCTCCAAACCAAAGGCAGAATTGGCAGCACTGAGTACAGTGCCTGACACATGGTAGAGGCTCAGCAGATGTTTACTAAATGCAACCATCTAGGAAGTCTGTGAATAGTAATCTAAATGGCTGCTAGAAAAGTGCTTACCTTAGTCTCTGCAGCCATTAGCCTACATGCATTGGACGCATGCCTAACACGTAGTGCAGGCTTTTCTCAGCCTTGGTACTGTTGACATTTGGGGCTAATAATTCTTTGTTGGGAATGGGAGGGGTGCTGTCTTGTGTACTGTAGGAGGTTTGGCAGCATCCCTGGCCTCCACCCAGGAAAAATGTCTTCAGACATTGCCACATGTTTCCTAGGGCGAGGGGGGGGGGGGGTGTTGGGGGGGGGGCAGGAATAGGCAAAATCACCCCTAGCTGAGAAACACTTATCTAGTCTGTGTGTTCGTGACATGTACCAGAATTAGAAAGATTATACTCTCTCCTCTCTTTTTTTTTTTTTAATCTATATTTCTTGATCTACATGTTGAAGGTATTTTATTCTCTTAATCTGCTCTCACCCAGTTTTCTCTGAATGTTTTCATATATCTGGGGGCAAGACAACTTTCTAGGTATGTCTGTATAAGTTAAAAAGACCTTTTCTTCCTTAGGGGAGGGGAAATATGAAACAAAGTGAAAACACGCCACACAGAAATTGGCCTAGCAGCTAAGGAGGTTGTTTTGCAGAATGAAATTGAGATGGTCTTGGGCCCAGGTAGGACCAAAATCCCTAAGCTGGAACCGATGTATCTGTGGGTCCAAAAGCAACTCTTGTATCTTAAAAGAAACTACCTTCACTTGTTTGTTACGCACTCTCATAATCCTAACAATAAAACCCCACCGTTATATAAAAGTACTCTTCTGACAAACAGGTTTTTTTCTCCCTTGGCTTTATTTTTATTTACTTCCTATTTATGTTAACAGTTTCAGGAAGATATCAACATGGGCTCCAGGAACAGGCTGTCTCAGTAACTCTCGCCTCTTCAGAAGCACAGTAAGTAGTCCCTTTTAAATCTCTAAGGTGAAGTGATGATGCTGTGTGTCTACTCTTTCTTACAATGAAAACAAAATTAAAATCTAAGAATTCTGAGTTAAACCTAGCCAGTGGGCAACTGGCTTGAAAATGACTACACATCCATGTCTAAGGGTGAGAAATAATTTATGACAAATAAAGCTCATGAAAAATTCTAATTTCATTCATGTTGCTACAAGTATACTTTCATGCTTTAAAAAAAATGTGGGCTGGTAGCATTTTTCTACCTTACTTACAGTGTAGAGTTAAGCGTGTGCCCTTACCTCTCCTCCAGTGCACGGAAAAGGACTGGAGTATCTAGAAGTGCAAATAGCTCCCTTCTTGACAACATCATCTTCCAGGCCAAATGTAGCAGAGCAGTTAGTTGCAAAGTACTTGTAAGGCTTCCATGTCTTCCCAAAGTCCTGGGACCGGTCCAGGACCATGGCTGCCGGCCTGGGGGACTTGAACACCATAATTAGATGAGTGAAGTAGAATTCAGCTTCCAGGTCTAATTGGATCTTTTCTCTGTGCACATCCTCAGCAGACTGCCACCATGTGCGAGGAAACCTGAAGGACGAGTCTGCCATGGCAGCTGGCAGGTGAGCCAGGTGAGGCTGGGCAGCATTGCATTTGTCACATTTGGGCTGCCGACAAGTCAGATCAGTGTTCTCACTAAAGAAGCAGTACAGTTCAGTGGCGTTCTGACCACAGGTGGTGTCTGCCCAGAGTTTTCTCCCTAAAGCCAAATTTCCCATCCGAGGGTTGCAGGCTTTTTCACAGCGGGAACTCACTCCAGCTACTCCACTCAGTCCTAGAGAAGGGGAAGCATATGTTATTCAAGACAAACCCATCTGGAAAGCTCTTCCATCCACTTAGGCTATCTCCAACAGTCAAGTTATCCCCAAAGAGTTTGAGACTTTCCGTAAAGAGGAAATTCTACTAAATTGGAGCATAAATATGATTCTGCATTTATACTGCATTTGTGGATCCAAGTGTGTGAGTGTGCATGTGTGTGTGTGCACTTCACGTTCAGATATAAAATTCACATAACAGAAAATACAATCACTTCAGGTAAAGGGCGAGAGGAAGGAAAATGGAAACATGGGGATAAAGATAGTGCACCTCAACCTTTTCAAGTACTTGGCTTTCTAAACATTCTATACTTGAAATATACTTGTTTTGAAGTCACAACTTAAATACTACCAAAAAACAATAATGTTTTTAAGATTACTCAGTTTAGTCTATCAAGTATAATTGGAATTCTTAGCATTATTGAACATGTTTATGAGAATGCATTAAGGAGGAAATGTAGAATTCTATTATATTTTTAAGCCAAAAAGATGAAGGGACAAGTTCCCTAGGAAAAGCAATATGAGATATTTAATCAATATACAACAGGATCTCATTTAGGGAGGCAAAGTTAGAGATAATGGGAGCTCAGATGCGCAACATCTATTTTTAATTTTAAGTAAACATAACAAAAAAACCCTCCCTAAACTGCCAAATGGCAGCAAAGCTTATTTGACTTGCTCTCTGCCCCTGGAGTGCTTCTACCTATGACAGGTTATACAGTAGTTACCTGTTCGCTTAACAGGAGAAATGTTTAAAGTCTGGCAGCCACTAATAGCACCTTTAAACATTATCTGTGAACTAAAACACCTTCTTAAAGAAACACACACTTCCATCCAGACAAAGGTCCAACAGACTCGAATGTTTTAAAATTACTTAGAATAATAAACATTATCCACTTATTAACATCTTGACAATATTATAATCCTTTAATTTGGGTTTGTCATTTTAATTATGAATACCTTAAGCGAAATCATCTATTTTAAAAGTTAAAACAGAGAGGGAAAGAAGGAAAAGGAAGTCAAACCCCAAATTCTGGCTAAGTGAACGTTTCTGCTTCTTAAGGGGGAGCACCTCTGAACTGTTATCACTGTCCTGTTGGAGAAGCCAAATGACAGCTTACACGAAAACAGTGACATTTCACACACTGACTGACAATCACCAGCCCCACATAGCCTTTGCAATTAAAAGAAAGGGCTTCTGTAGACATATTTTTTAAATGTCAAATTCAACTCTGCATTACTCCTGGACTCTGTTCTGATTAGCTGGGGCAACAGTTGCTTGTGGCCAAGATCACCCAAACACACAGTGTGCTATGACTCACCCGTAAAGCATTTCGGGGGAAAATCATATACTGCCTGTACAAGTATTTTTGACTTAGACACTTGCCTTGTGATATTTATTTACAACCTCTTGATTGCTTGCATGTTTTTGCCATAATATGGTTTGAAAAGGGCAAGGTTTATTAAAGTTCACTTTGTGGTTGGGGGAGCATGTATCAGCGCACAGAGGTGCATAAAGTAGAAAGAATTAAAGCAAAATCTTCGACCTGCAATAGCTCCTTTGGGAAAGTAATGAATAATTTCCAATGCCCTAGAACTAATTAAGTCCATAAAGATTGGAGTCAGGCAAATAACTGGTGGACAAAATACTTGGAGATCCCTGAAGAAGTAGCCATTCCAAGGATGGCAAGGATGCTCCTACGACTCTGACTGGTTTGGGATGTAGATTCTAAACCATGGCTTTTACTTCGCGCCAGCGTCTCTGCACGCTGAGTGGAAGAAGCCGGAGGGAAGGGAGGAGTGTGCCAACGCTCTCTATCCACCAGTCTGTCTCTCCAGCCCGCACTCCTCTTTCTGGAGCAAGGGAGAGAGTTTGAGAGAACGGATGGTCACAGAGTCCCTCACTTTCTTTCCCCCTCACACACTGAGCTGCACTAACGCCTAACTGGAAACCAGGTGACCCGCAGGAGGCAGGGAGAGGAGCAGAAGGGGCTCCCGAATTTAGAAACGGCGAGGCGAGCTAGAAACGGGTGGCCAAGGGCAGCCCAAGAAAGCCAGGATGGAAGTGGGAGGGAGAGCGCATCTGACGACGCCTCTGCCGGTTGTCCAGTTACCGAGACAGGGAGCAGACCCGCCTCCGACCTCCCGCGGAGCCTCGGCCAGGGTACCAATTCCCCAGGGGCGGTCAGCCAACTCCGTGCAGCCCAGCGTGATCACCACCTATCGTCCTGGCCCGGGGTCTCACTGCGTTCAGGCACTGCCCGGGTGCGAGAGCACTCACCCCCTCCCAGGTGTCCCTACCTGGGTCCTAGTACCCAGCATGAGGTCGGGAACGACGGCGATCGCTCTCAACGAGACAGCGGCCCCGGCCCACGCGCGCCTAGGGTCGCTGGGCCACCCCTCCCCATCATTCCTCAGGCCATGAAGTGCCGGGGGATGGCGAGCTTGGTCCTTTGTTCCCTCACAAAGTGGAAAGGCAGTTTTTTACAAGCCCAAACCGAGAAAGAAACCAAGGTCGCGGTATCTCCGGCAGGGCGCACCCAGGATATCAGGTTATCCAAGGGCATGTGTATCGCAGTTGCAAAAAAATCAATAGTATTTTTAACTGCGGAGACTCGGGGAAAGGAGGCGGAACATGGCCACTCATTTCATCCTCGGGAGCTGAGCTCGGCGCTCCCAGCCCGCACTCCCCTACACCCCCGAGTCCCGAGGTGGGGAACAGAAGGAGCGAGGGAAGGGGGGTGGGGGCCCGGCAGCGTCACCACCCACCTGCGGCCACCGCGGAGCAGCCCCAGAGCAGCAGCAGCCGCGCGCAGCTCCCCATGGCCGGGAGGAGCCGGGAGGAGCCGGGCCAGGCGGGTGCGGGAGGGAGCCGAGCCCTCTCGGCCGCGGGATGAAGCGCCAACCGCTCTCGGGAGGAACCGGGGCTCTCTATCTCTTCCTCCTGCTGGAGCGCCCGGCTCGGTCAGTGGGCGCCAGCGGCTGGGAGCCGCGGGCCGGGGCTGCGCCGGGCGGTGGGGTGACCCTCGCGCACCGGCCTGGAGGGGCCCGGGCACCTCGGGGGCGGCGGGAGCCCCAGGACCATAGCCGGCCTGGCCGCGCTGCCCCGCGGAGCGGTCTTGCGGGCTCGGCCGCCGCTAGCCCGGGGCTCAGCGCCCGCAGCAGCCACTGAACTTTGCGAGACCTTTCACTTCCCGGCCGCCGCCGCCGCCGCCGCCGCCTCCTGGGCGTCCTCCTCCGCTTTTACCACCTCCTCCGGCTGCTGCGTCTCGGTCCCGTCCTTCTCCATGGGCAGTTCCATGGGATGCATTTTTATTGCACCGACACCGCGGCGCTCCGGTGCCAGCCCTCCGCCCCTCGCACCTCCACCCCTTCCTCCCGCCCGCCCCCCGCGCTCGCTTGACAGCCCGGGCGGTGCAGCCCGCGCGGCCGGGTCACCGCCGCCGCCTGGGAGGGATACCCTGCCCGACCGGCCGCCCTCGCTGCCCCGCCGCCAGCTGGTCCCCCCGCCTCACCCCCGCGAGCGCCCGTCACCTCGGCCCCCAGCTTCCCTCGGACCCCTCCAGGCGCTTGCCCTGCATCTCCCTGCGTGACCCCCCTAGTGCCCTCCAGCACCCACAGGCCTTCTCTAGGAAGCAGTCTCCCACCTTCTCCCGGAACATTCCAGAGAGCAGTTGACTCCCTCTTGATCAGGTCAGGGCATGCCAAGGGGCTTTAAAAACCGCGAAACAGGCTAGCGCCTACTTCCCATATCCCCCAGCAAAACAAGCCCTCCCCGTTCCCTTCGCCACCCCCGCCACCCCTTCTCCAGGATCCTCGCGACCCCAGGAAGGACCCCTCCGGCCCAGCCCGGGGTCACCGGCGTCGGAGAGTGCACTAACTGCTCAGCGCGTTCGCTGCTGCTCTGCCGCCTTTGGGGGGCGGGGGAGGGCGTCTCGGCTAAACGAGCAAGGCTGACTTTATCCGAGGTGTATCCATTTTGACGTAAAAAGTGTTCCCTAATTCAAACTCAAGGTGCTAAAAGAAAAGGGTCATAGGATTAGCTAGTGGGCAGTTTAAGAACATCCTTGTCTAGAGGCAGAGACGTGACAAAGAGAACCGCTTTGGTCCTTCCAAGCCCTCTCCATGTAGAGTGTGTTGTGCTCTGCAACAACAATGTTGTGAAATAAGTTATGGGGAACAATTTAATAGCAACCACAAGTAGCTAATTGTGGATAGGATTGCTCAGAGCTGCTGTTTATGGAAGATTAAATAGCACTCGAGTCTGGGACTTTTACAAGTTCTATGAGAATATAATTCTATGTACACATCCCGGGAAACAGGCAAAAGTTAAGTAGAAAGCAATTTTTTATTGCAGTGTTCATTTTGAGGCTTTGAATATTTTCCAGAAAATTAACTACTTTACAGATACGGTGCGGTTGTGTGTGTTCCTGATGATGATAATTCAGAGCTTTGGGGCACATGTAGGTATTATTTATAATGACCCTGCTGGGGATGTGTAAGAAGTATTTATCTCTCAGGAGGAACTGGGGTGAGGTCAGCATCATCCGTTTGGGAAACATTAAAATTACTCTTCTGGCCAACACTGGGAAGTGGCAAAAGGTATAGGACAGCATTTCACGTAACACTTTAGAAAATAAACCCTTTGAGTTTTCAAATATTGGCAATGTTGGGGCTTTCTTGCTATCTTATAGATATGCTACTGATGGAGTCACTGAAACACCTCTTCAAATTATTCTTTTTACCAAATCGATGATAGGAAATTATAACAGTTAAAGCCTTTTAGCACTAATATTAACAATAGCCACAGCAAATTTTAAAAAAAGGAAGAAAGAAAATGCACATTTATTATTAACTTCTCAGGCTACTATATTGAGGCAGAACTACCCCATTTCTCATTACAAATTTCAAAAGCATTTGCTATTTGCATCAATCCTGCCTGGATAGTATACTTCCTTGATTGCTCTATAGCTGGTTCTTGTTTCTTTTAACAAGACAGTAACTTCCTTAATGGTAAAGCATCTTTTATACTTAGGCTATACAAAACATTCTTATATTCTTCAATATATATTTCAATATATATTCTTAACTGAGAACACCTGCTAGGAACATAGTAAATTTTCATTAAATGTTTTTGATAGAGTTACATTAAAACTATTTTTATATACTAAGAACAGGGATTAAGAAGAAAACCAGTGAAATCAGAATGATTCCCCATATTCTAAAGGAATCTGTACCTTCACACCAATATTTTATATGAAGTAGCTCAGGAGAGAAAAGTAATTAGTATTCTAATCAATTTCATTTGGTTAGATAGTCTAATTTAGTTATAAATTCTATTTTTATTTTGAAGAAGCTATTCAGGAAAAGTTTATCTACATAAGGAAAATCTTGCTCAGTGATAAGAATCTCACTGCCAATAATTAAGCGCTTTTGAAAATTTCAGTAACAGATTCAGAATTTTTAAAAATTTTATGAATTAGTAGGAAGCTCAGCAAACCTATGGAATTTCCATAAGAAGTTTCCAGAAGCCATATAATTGACAAATTAAATGTAAAATACTTTTGAGAACTTGGAAGAAAGCTAAAACGGCCTTTAAGAACGAAAAGAGATGGCAAAGAGTCCGTGCACCAAAGACCTTATTCATGGAGAGCTCTTCATGTCTTCACTTAGATTATTCATGCAATCTTAATAAATTTGGTTATGCACTTTCAGACCACACCATATTACAACTAACAAATTGGAATAGAGCAGGCTGCCACTAGAACAATGAATGAGGTGAGGCACCCTGGCAATAAGGTGGAGAGGAAAACTACAAAAAGTATCCATAAGGACAAAAACCCCCAGGATTCTGAGGCCTTTTAGTACAGAGGCAAAGCACTGAAAGACTATAAAGATGTCACTTGATTATAACTTAGTACAATAAGTGGGTCCCTAGTGGATCATAGGCGATTTGGCATCAGAAGGAAACTTAGGCATCCTTGAGCCCAACTTCTCACCCCATCAGGAACCTTCTGCACAAAATCTCTGTCCAATGGTCATCTAGTTTCTGTTCTAGAAATTTCAGTAAGCAGAAGCCTCAAAAGCAGTCCTTTTTATTTTTGGTACTATTTTATTTCACTGTGACATCTCTCTGTAAAATTCTACCTCTATTATAGTTTAGTCATATGCAATTGTACAGACTAGGTCAATTTCTTTTCTGATAGGTCTTGGAAGATTTGAAGTCAGGTTCTATTGCTCCTCTTCACTACACTCCTCTCCAGGTGTTTGTTTAATTGCCCACATAACATGATTTTCAAGCTTTTACCATCTTAATCACCCCTTTTCAGATATACCACAGTTTGTCAATGCTACTCTTAAACTGTGCATCTGGAACTCACTCCAGGTTTGTCTGGATCAGTGTGGAACAACTAGTAGTTCCCTTAACTTACGTCTAGGGCTTATATTTCTGCAGCCGGAAAATGCATTAGCAGCTTTGTGATGTCGGCTGAGACTGTGCTTGAAGCAAACTAAAATCCCCTTTTCATATATTGATGTCTTTAAAGACCCATTAATAAAGGGTAAAATATGTTTTATTTAACCAGAAGGAAAGAATCCAATTAAAATACATTGCAGGTAGTAAGCATTCAATAAATATTAATTTAAAGAAAAAAATCAACAAGTTCAAATTGTTAAATCTGAAAAAATGGTTAAAAATTTTAAAAGAAAAATTTTAAAAGAAACCTTTAATGGGATAAGTATCTATTTTCTAAAAAACAATCACTTCTGTGGAAAATTTGACTCTTCACTAAGACTGTATACATGTAATATTACTATACATTTCCAAGGAAAGGAAGGAGTTTGAAATAGTAGTATTTTTAGTATACCTCACATCTTTCCTCCGTGAAACTACAAACGTTGTCTCATCTATCTTCGAAGCATCAGTGTGTGGGAGGGAACAGGAATGGCTGTGCGTATTTGCAGAGAGAGAAAGTGATGTGAAAGATGTGTGTGCCAAACTTAGATCATCCAATAAATATACACTGGAGATAGGACTCGGGTTTCTAGATTCTTTTTTTTTTAAATCATTGCTTATCCATCAATTTTCCATGAATATGATTTTATCTCTCTTTGAACTAGAAGACTATTGGGAGAAAATGAAATGGAGAATTGTTTCCATTGAAGTAAACCTATATTTTGTTTTCTACCTGGTCTGTGCCCTTCAAATGCCCTTTAAAAACATCATCTTGGGAATTTCCTTAAGCTTTAATCTAAGCCTCCTGCCACTGGCGCTGTTTCTTATTTCGTGTGCTTCCTGGCTACAGCTGCTCATTCCTAGGAAGGGAGTGAAAGCCTTTGAAAATACATGTGCTCTTTCAGGAAGGTAAGCAGTACTTTTCTTAAAAAAAAAAAAATACACACTTGCTCTCTCATGTTTAAATTAATTATATGGAGCCTAAAAAGTTCAAACAAACAAGAACACTTCTGTTGTTATTACAGAGATAGCTACTCTGGACAGCACTGTATTGACACAATTTTTTTTTTTTTTTTTTTTTTTTTAGGAAGCTATTTTTTTTTTTAAGATTTTATTTTTTCCTTTTTCTCCCCAAAGCCCCCCAATACATAGCTGTATATTCTTCGTTGTGGGTCCTTCTAGTTGTAGCATGTGGGACGCTGCCTCAGCGTGGTTTGATGAGCAGTGCCATGTCCGTGCCCAGGATTCGAACCAACGAAACACTGGGCCGCCTGCAGCAGAGTCCACAGACTTAACCACTCGGCCACGGGGCCAGCCCCTATTGACACAAATTTTAAATACTTTCTCCTCTAAATAGCTCTTAGCTATAACTTCCCATACATATTGCTACTTCTGACATTGAGGAAAAGATGCTCGGAGACAAATGACTACTTTTTTAAATGTAGGGAAATAGATAAAGAAAATATTACCAAAGGCCCCATGAGGATGAAAGACTTGTAAATAATATAGGTGATTCCTTTTATTTATTTCTGTCTTTTACATAGAAATATAGTGGTTGGGAGCATGGACTGTGAGGTCTGACTCCCCAGGGTCAAATCCTGGCTCTGCCACCTACTAGCTGTGTGACTGTGAGCAAGTTATTTAACCTCTTGGTGCAACCATTTCCTCATCTACGATATGGGAATAGTAATAGTACCTAGCTAATAAAATTATTACGAACATTAAATGAATTAATATTTATGAAGTGGTAGAAAAGAGCAAGTCACACAGGGAGCACTTTAAGTTTTGTTAAATACATAAAATAGTAAAATACAAATCTGTCATGTACTTACAATCTCTTTTGACCTGCCCTGGAATTCCATCTTCAAGTTACATACAGATGTTTAATAGGCTGAAGTTAGATTGTTGCCCTGGCTTCATTTTCAGTGCTGCTTTACACCAATGAAAGGCGCTACACAGGAGATGAAAGTCTGAAGCAACAGATCTTCCCTAGGCAGAGGGAGAGGGGAATTAGCACTGATGGAGCAGCGGTAACTTACCAGGCACCATGGTGACTACTTTAGAATTCTCACAATTCTCTAAGGTTAGGTTGTCAACCCCTTCCTTGATGAGGAAACTGAAGCTCAGAGAAGTTAAACACCTGAACCAAGGTCACAGAAGCTAAGTAAACGGACGAGTCAGGATTTGAACTCCGGTGGATCTGACTTTAAGCAGAGTATTCTTTCCATTTCTTCTTTCAAGACAGGTGGCATAGTAAGGCAGTTAAAGGAAGGGTTCAAAACTAGACTGCCAATTTCCTCATTGGTGAAAACACTCCTGGAATGTTTTCTACCTTAACGATCACAGTTTAACCCGTGGACCCCAGAGGATTAACCACCACCACCTTGCTTACTTCCAGGTCTCACTTGTGAGCTTCAGGGCTGTATATCCAACCATCAATGTCCAAATGTCTACATAGACACCTCAAGTTCAACATGTTCGAAACTAAACTCATCATCTACTGGACCAACACAGAATGAGTAGCGGTTTCAAAACTTCTGCAGAACAGTCATGTTCAGTGAGACACACTAAGTGTTCTGAGGCAAAAGAGTTCTGTGGTCAAATAATCTTAACATTAGGTTAAACAAAGCTAAATAAGACTTCTCAGAATTTTTAATATGTTAAATTTATTTCAAATCTCCAAGAAATGTATATAATACTATATTGGGATTGCATTCAGTTGCTTGAACCCAACTCAGTAGCTTAACCAGATTGAGATTTTCTTCACATGACACGAGGTCAGGAGGTATACGGTCCAGTAGAAGTGTAGTTGCTCAAAGAAGTCATCAGGTCTTGTGTGGTTTTCTTCCTTATGGTCAAAAGATGGCTGCTCCACATCCAGGACTTGTGTCTCCGTTCTAGGCAAGAGTAATGGAAAAAGAGAGAAGGAAAAAAGAGACATGCCAGCTAAATCTTAAAAAGCTTTCCCAGCAGCCTCACCCACATGCTTATATCTAATAGTCCAGAACTGGGTTATGTGGCCTCTCCAGACCCTGAGGAAGTCTGGGGAAGTGACTATTTAGATTGGGCACACTGCCACCCTTAACAAAATCAGGCTCCTGTTAGAAAGGAAAGGAGGTTGAATATCGAATAGACAACTAGTTGTATATATTATCAACAGTTAGCAATTTCACCAGTGTACTTGGCCCAAGCACCTAGTAACATATTCCATGGCTCCCCATCGTTGACAGATGGAATTCATGCTGCTTGGCTTGGTACCCAAACCTTCTGTGATGTACCAATTCCTGCCACAGGCTTTCTAGCTTCATTCACAGTGAACTACCTGCAGTCTCTGTTTTTCCACTTTCTTCCCTCCTTCAGGAATGTTTGCATGAATGCAAGTATTGTTGCAAGCAGAGAAGAAGGAATCTTCTTTAAAAGTGATTAATTCTTGTTAGAATACATGATATTCCTATTTTGAACAGAACTCTTATATTTGAAAATGAAAACATAGAATCATATTAATATTTTTTAAACAATATTAAATTTTATATTAAAATGAATCCTGAAGCAGCAGGGGATTTCTTGGGCTACTAATGACCCTATAGGACGTTTGCTCTGTGGAACTATCATATTCTCTGGCCTCCCACCACCCAGTAGGAGAAAAGAAGGAGGTACAGATTACTATCCCTTACTCTGAAAAAAAAAATCAAAACTTGCAGACCTGAGGTAATAAATAGCTAAAGCCAGTAGCTTAGAATTCTTTTCTCAGTCTCACTGGTGTGGTCCTGGGTATAGTACTTTTAAATACACGAAGAGAGTCAAATACGTATGGTTTCCTAGTGTATACTTTTTTTTTTTAGTATACAAAAAGATATTCGATTGCCCTTTTAGGGACTCAAAATATCCTGCAATCAGGAAATAAATATCTTGAATATGCATATCATCCAAAGGGATAAGTAACTAGAGTTCTATATAGAAATAAAAATTCCCCTGTTCAAATCCAGATGAACTGTCCTAATGTGCTTACTCTTGATGGGAACTTTTCCCCTATTGTGAACAATAACAATAGCTAGCATTTACTGGGGACTTGCTATGTGCGCAGGCCCTGTGCTAAACACTCTACATACATTCTCACCTTCAATCCTCACAGTCACCTAGGGAGAGATCCTCAATAATCATCACCACTTTACAAACAAGAACTGAGACTCACAAGGCAGAGCTGAAACCATAACACAAGTCACAGGTCTCCAAAGCCCATGAGCAAAACTACCACATCTGTCTTGAGTCTGCGGGAAATATAGAAAAGCAGCAAGATGGGCAAACCCATCATTCCAAGACGCCAGTTTTCATTTTGGTATATTTCTTTCTGATCTTATTTCTATTCACACAATTTTTGTTCCACACTTTTTTTTCACTTATGATTATTAAGTTATTAGAAATACTTCCAAAATATCAATTTTCATGGCCTTTGACTGTTCCAGTGAATGCATATGCCTTGTTCTACATAATGCGACATTTATTTGGACATGAGCTATCTTCAGGTTTTTGCTGTTATAAGTAATACTTTAATATTTCTCTGAATTAAATATTTTCTTAATCTGAGATTATTTCTTTATAATCATTAAAATGGAGATACCAAGTCAAAGGAAAGGTACATTTAAGGCCACCTTGCCACATTTAAGGCCACGCCGCCAAATTTCTTTTCCAAAAGGGTTGCATGAATTTGTAAAACCACCACTAACACAAGGTGCCTGTTTCACCACACCCATACCAACACTGGATATTACACTTCAGAAATATAAATTTCCTAATTCAGTATGTGAAAAGTGATATTTTTTATTTGCATTTCTTTGATTGGATTGTATGTAAAATTAAACATTTTTTTCTACGCTTGCTAATCAATTTTATTTCACCCTTCTTACTGGTTTCTTAAGGTGGAAACTTAGGTTTTGATTTTAGACCTTTCTTCTTTCCTAACATACGTGTTTAAGGCTATAAATTTCCCTCTAAGCAAATTTATTTTTCTGTGTCCCACAAATTTTGGTAAGTTGTACTTTTATTTTTTCTTTAATATTTTAAGATTTCTCCTGAGATTTCTTCTTTGGCTCATGGGTTGTCTAGAGGTATGTTGTTTAATTTCCAGATATTTGGGGATTTTCTAGCTATCTTTCTGTTGTTTACTTCTAGTTTAATTCCACTGTGGTCTGAGAATGCACTTTGTATGATTTCTATTCTTTTAAATTTGTTAAGGTGCATTTTATGGTCTATATTGGTGTATGTTTCATGTGAGTTTCAGAATAACGTGTATTCTGCTATTGTCGGATGGAGTATTCTATAAATGTTGACTCAGTCATATTGATTGATCTGTTCAGGTCACCCAAATCCTTACGGTTTTCACCCTTTTCAAATTATACTCACTTTTAGCAACTAGTGAACGAGACAACAGAAGAGAAAAGTAAATTAAAAACTACATTGAACTTAAAGTTTATATTGTAGGAAACAGATTTCCATGCATGCTTTCCATGAAGTCTTTAGTTTTTGTCTATTACCTTTTTCTAACAATGGAGAGGATGTATAAGAGGAAAAGCTGGGTGAGGGGGTGAACCAGAAACGCAGAAGAAAATGTTGAAAGGAAACACCAGTCACATCACTAGTCTGAGATTTTTCCATATTCTAAATGATACTTTCATACCTATTTAAGAAAAACAAAAAAGTTACTGACCAAGGATTTTATCTTTAGCTCTCTTCTTGAGAATTCATAATTTTTAGTGAAGAAGTAATAATATAACTTTTAAAGAGATCATCTATAGTCTTGTTGTTTTGAACTGACCCTGCTTTCACTTGAAAATACCACAAACTCATGGTTATAGAGTTGGAAAGGTAACTGTAGTACAGAAAGTTTGGCTGATTACATAGTGTTATAGTTTTAAGAGCTGCTTCAAAAGCAATCAGACTATTTGAAAAAATTTCATGACAAACGTGTTCTTCCTTTAAAATGTAAGCACTGAGCCAATCTTAGAGGCAAACATTGACTGCACACTTATATCAAGTCAGTTGTTGTAAGTATTTTAGTTATAACGATGCAAAAACGTGGAGCATAGGTTTACTTTTTAACTCCAGTCCTGTTCAAAGATCACTTATTGGCCTCTGAAGGAACAGGTGGCATGTCTGTTACAGTTTAACGAGTGGCCTTTGGGTGAGGTATAGTCATTCAGATCCCTCTGGATGCTTTGGATGCTCTCATGTGTGGCAGGTGCACTTGCTAAAACATTCTCCTCTCTAGAACTGGAAACCTAGAGTCTATATCTGAGGCACTGGGCAAGTGTTCCAGACTTCCCTTCTGAGTCATACATGAAAAATGCCATCTTGCAACTGAGACAGCAATTCCTTTGCCAAGAAATCACATTCTTAATTTCCTAATGTTGACATAAATATTCCAGTTCTTGGTAAATAAGATAGCTTTTCTGTTTGCATTATATATCTGAGAATTCATCCTTTGGATAACAGAATTTTCAGGGAATTTTTTTCTATCAGAATTTTTTCTATCTATTAAATTTTTCTAAATTTCTATCAGAATTTTTACTGGGCTTCCCAAAAAATTCCAGATTCACCTCAGATACTAGCAAGTCAATTCTATTCCACTACTCTCACCTGTTGAGTTGTGTTGAATTTGAATTGTATTACATTTATAGTTAATTTTAGGAGTATTTATATCTTTAGGGAATTGAGTTTACATTTTTATGAACATAGTATAACTCTCTATGTATTTAGGTCCTCTTTAAGACATTTCAATAAAGTTTCATAATTTTCTTCATAAAAACCTTGCTGATATTTTATTAGATTTATCCCTACACACTATTTTTTGTTGTATTTATAAATTGTCTTTTTTAAAATAGTATTTTTTAAGTCTTTGTTGTTGGTATGTGAGAATGTAATTGATTTTTTTGTATATTGATCTTATATCTAGCAACCTTCCTAAATTCTTAGTTCTAATAATTTATAGTCTTTTGGATTTTTCTGTATAAATAATCATACCATAAGCATATAAGTAGGGTTTCTTCTTTCCCAATACTTATAACTTTTTTCTGTTTTTCTTTTATGATTATGCTAGCTAGAACATTTAGTACATTTTGAATAGTCACAATATTGAAGGACTTATGATTTCCCTTATTATCTTGAAGGTAAGCTATGTTTTTAAAAGATTTTTTTTCTTTTACTCAGCACTAGATGTTTGGTACTGAGAGAATTCAAGCTATCTAACCTGCACTGTTGCTAGAGTCATATCCTATCTTTAATCATTTCCCATATCTTTACCTCTTCTACTAGTTGAATTGCTCTTTATACACTTTCTAAGTCCATGGTTTTTTTAAGTTCACTTTTCTTGTTTCTAATGGTGTATTTTTGTGAAATTGACTATTGATTGTAAAATCAATTCTCTACCAAGAACTTGTCTTTATCTTATCATTCGAATTATTTCTTAATACTCATGGATTCCAGGGGGAAAAACTGAATTAAAAAATAAAATTATTTTTATGGGGTTGGCCCCATGGCCTAGCAGTTAAGTTCGGAGTGCTCTGCTTCAGTGGCCCAGGTTTTCAGGTTCAGATCCTGGGCATGGACCTACACCACTCATCAGCCATGCTGTGGCAGCAACCCACATACAAAATAGAAGAAGATTGGCACAGATATTAGCTCAGTGTGAATCTTCCTTAGCAAATAAATAAATTTTTTAAAAAATTATTTTTAAACACAAGATGACTATGGGTCCACCTAACCCTTCAGTGAAGTCTTCTTTATTTCTTCCTACAATGTTTCCAATACTTCCAAACATGCCGGTTGCTTTGTTGCACAACAGCAGAGGCACCATTCACATCACTGTCTCTGTGAATGGCACGCCCTGGCATTGTGCAGTGCA